GAGACAAAGAAATATGGCTCAAATGAAAGAATAGAATAAAACCACAGGAAAAAAACTAAGCAAAATGGAGATAGCCAACCTATCAGATGCAGAGTTTAAAACACTGGTGATGAACATACTTAGAGATCTCACTGAGTATGACAAAAGCATGAAGGAAAAAATAAAGGCTACACTAAGTAAACTAAAGAAAAATCCACAGGGAACCAACAGTGAAGGGAAGGAGGCCAGGGTTCAAAGCAACAAATGGAACACAGGGAAGAAATAAACAGTCAACTAGAACAAAATGAAGAAACAAGAATTAAAAAAAAAAAAACAGGAGAGAATAAGAAGACTCTGGGACATGTCCAAACATGCCAACTCCCGAATCACAGGGATACCAGAAGGAGAAGAGGAAGAACAGAAATTGAAAAGTTATTTGAAAAAAATAATGAAAGAAAGCTTCCCCAACCTGGCAAAGGAAATAGACATACAAGTCCAGGAAACTCAGAAAAGTCCCAAACAAGTTGAACCCAAAGAGTATCACACCACAACACACCATAATTAAATTGCCAAAGGTTAAAAATAGAGAATCTTTTTTAAAAAAGATTTTATTTATTTATCTTTAGAGGGGAAGGAAGGGGAAGGAGAGAGGGGGAGAAATACCAATGTATGGTTGCCTCTTGTGTGTCCCCTGCTGGGAACTGGCCTACAACCCAGGCATGTGCCCTGACTGGGAATCGAACCGTGGTTGCTTGGTTCCCAGGCCTGCACTCAATCCACTGAGCTACACCAGCCAGGGCTAAAAATAGAGAATCTTAAAAGCAGCAAAAGAAGAGAGTAATCTACAGAGTTCCCAAAAGACTACGAGCTGATTTCTCAAAAGAAAGTTTGCAATTAAAAAGAGACTGGCAAGAAGTGTTCAAAGTGATTAAAAGCAAGGACCTACAACTTAGATTACTCTATCCAGCAAAGCTATCATTTAGGAGTGAAGGGCAGATAAGGTGCTTCCCAGACAAGGTAAAGTTAAAGGAGTTCATCATCATCAATCCCTTATTATATGAAATGTTAAGGGACTCATTTAAGAAACAGGAAATCAAAACTATGAGCATTGAAATGATAATAAACACAACTATTAACAACTCAATCTAAAAAAATAATAACTAAGCAAATAACTAGAACAGGAACAGAATCATAAATATGAAGATCATCTGGAGGGTTGTCAGTGGGGAAGGAGAAGGAGGAGAATGGGGGGAAAGGTGCAGAGATTAAGAAGTACAAATTAGTAGGTACAAAATATGCAGAAGAATGTCAAGAACAGTATAGGAAATGGATAAGCCAAAGAACATATATGCACAACCCATGGACATGAACTAAAGGCAGGAATTGATAGAGGGAAGCAGGGTACAAGGTTGAAGGGTACAAAGGAGGGTATTGGGACAACTGTAATAGCATACTAAAGAAAACATACTTTTAAAAAAAGGAAATTAAATTAGGAAGTATATGCAGCTCTATAAGAAAGTCCAGGTTTATGTGCCCTATTGCTGGTACCATGGAATTTATCACTTTACAAAGAAAACCCAACTCAATTCCTTTAAACTGAGTTGTAGTATGAGCATTTAATATATATTTTTCATCTCCAGGACATTTCATCTTAACTCTCCTGTGTAAATAGCTTACAAGGTTATATTTTTTCCAGAGGGTTACATATTTGAGGGTTATGGTTGAGAAGTGGCACCCATTTCCTTCAATTTCCTTAAAGTGAATATAACTTTGTGAAGAAGAATGAAGTGAATACAAGTGGTTAGTTCAGTGGCTTTGAAAAAAATGCAACTTTTTATACTTTGAATTTACCATAACCAAAAGGCCACTGGGCAGCTGTTATTGGTTCTAAGTCAGAGCAGAAAGAAGAAAACAGTTATTTAGAATTGAAAGAAGGTTCAGTGGTTACCTGCTGCCAACTTGCATGTCACAGATGAGGAGAATGGGGTCAGGAAGACTGCATCTCATCTAACGCATGTTGATTTAACCAAGGAGTGCCTGAGTGGAATGAAAGGGCCATCTCCAGACTGACAGGCCTGCACTCAGAGGCTGATTCTGAAACATGAATGCAACCGTCAGCCAAATACCGATAGACTAGAAGAAAGAACACTTGGTCAGAATGTCTTTGGGCAAGACATTTGGACCTCAGTGGACATCTTTGATCTCTTTCCTTATCTGTAGAGTCAAGCTGAATATTGCCTGCCTACCAGGCATTTTTGGTTGAGAGAGCAAATGAGATAAAGTCTATGAAACTTCCCTAAATGTTGAACCACAAAATAATGATAACAACTGGGATCATTTGTTAAACACTTGGGATGTGCCAGGCATTGTGCTAAGCATCATTTCATTATCACAGCACAATAAGATTTAAGAAAGCCATTTCCTTCATTGTACATGGGAAGGTAAAACTTTGGATAAATAGTTCATCTATGATCTCACAGATCTGAATGAGGTCTGGCTGATTCTCCTACCCATTTAATTATCAATAACACTATATCAATTTAATTATCAATGATTAAATTAATCAATAATACTACATCAGTAACATATCAATAATATTGATATAATAGTAATCATACTATAATGCTATATAACACCATGTGCTGTATATTACTATAGTATGCTGGTACTTACTATACTGGTACTATATTACTGTGTTACTATAGTACATAGTATAGTACTATATGTATATTGCATAGTCATATTACTAATTCTGTAATAATATAATAATATATGGATTGTATAATAATACCACTGTGTAAGATTATTATGAAGTAATTATTACCATGTTCATATGAGGTAATTATTACAATGGTCGATGGTAATAATTAACAGTGCATACTTATATAACCAAAGAGAATAGAGAAGATATTTATCCTATATGAACTACATCATAAGTTCATATAGCCCCCCTGACACCTTTAAAGGATGAAATTAGTGGCAATAAGAGCATCAAGAGTTTTAATAATTATAATATATTATTGCCTGTACTTACGTCATCATAAAAAAATCACTTAGAGTAGATCAATATGACAAATGAGTAAACCAGGAGATGGCGTTGAAGATTAGCAATCACACAAGGCAGACTGGTAAAGTCTCAGAAAGTTTCGTACAATGACTGTTGTTTTGAACTTCTAAAAGTAGACGAGTGAGAAAAATGTAGAAACTAACTAAACCTGGTGCAGAGGACACATGTACAAAAGTATGAAAAGCTCTAGTTTGCCATTTTTGTTCTTGGCGATCTTCTTCTGCCTGTTGTTTATGAACACTGGGGAAAAGAAACTCACTGACTAAAATGTAATGCAACACGAAGACAGCATTCTTCGCTTTGTGCACTGAAATATTCCAAGTTTCTAGAGCAGTTCCTGACAAGTAGTAAGTGCTCAAAATGTATTTGTTGAATGAATAAACCTGTGAAAGAACAGGAAAGGAAGAACAGGTTGTGACCAGAATTTTCTGTGAACAAAACCCTGTTGTTTATTACATAGATTCTGATAATGGAAAATTTACTTGGGTGAATAAATATATGTCATCCTGTTAATTTCTGAGAAAGTCCATGTGCTTTAGGAAAAGTATACCTAATCTACATCTCACTGCCTATTTTTTCTAGACTAAATTTAGTGGGGTTTTTGGGGGGGCAGTGGTAGGAGACATTGACCCAACTTACGAGATTAAAAGAAAAACTGAGAAATAAGTGAAATCAAAAGCTTTTCAAAAGTTGAGTTGACCTGGGGTGATAGTGGTCTAAAATCATACAGAAACTGGTGAGCTGAAAGTTTACCTAAAATTGCTAAGTAAATAAACATGCACAGGGTATCCAAAATGCTGTGGTGAAAGTTTAGTGGGCAGATGTTCAGGGCATTAATTTTTATATAAAGGACATCTTGAAAAATTAAGTAAAATTTCTGGCCCACTTAAAAATTATTTTTATTCTGGACATTTATACTGCACTAGTAAATTGCTTCCTACTAGGCTGAGGTTAAAACCATGTCATTTTAAGATGAACTTCAGTCCAGAAGCAAATATTCACTTGGAGATTTCAGAATCCCTCCCTCACCTCCATGTAGCTGTAATTGAAACTTTGGGTACTATGCATTGCCTTCTGAGTCATTTCAATTCACAAGTTTAATAGATGGCAAAGGATGAGCATTTCAAACATGCAAACAGTATTTGAACCACAATTTATAGTTCAAGGGATCTGGGCCATATTCTTTTTTTTTTTCTCTTTCTTTCTCTCTTTCTCTCTCTCTCTCTCTCTCTTTTTTCTTTCTTTCTTTCTCTCTTTCTCTCTTTCTCTCTTTCTCTCTTTCTCTCTTTCTCTCTTTCTCTCTTTCTCTCTTTCTCTCTCTCTCTCTCTCTCTCTCTCTCTCTCTTTCTTTCTTTCTTTCTTTCTTTCTTTCTTTCTTTCTTTCTTCTTTTTAATGAGTACCCTGTTCTCTACACATCGCAGAGGGGCAGAATTCTTAAGGACAGCGGCAGGACCAAGGATGCCCCCCACCCACCTACAGTTCTTCAGTATGGACAACTCCTCGGTCTTTGGTTACCTGCTCTGCAATCAAAGTGCCCTTCGCATGAGATTCCCGCTCCTACAGATCCCCCACTTCCCGCCCTAACTGCGTAGCAGTATTTTGGGTGTTATCAGTTATCCACCGGCCTCCAGCAGGTCCTGGAGCAGAGGCGAGGTCCCCATTTCGCGCCTTGCCCCTCGCAGGAAACTACCTCGAATGAGGGTCATCTAGGCCGCGCGTTCCCAACGCAAGTAAAGCGAAGACGGTGGCGGAGGGGGCTGGAGTCCCCGGCCCAGCCGCGGCCGACCCTCGCGTGCGGGCGCCCCGGAACCCTTGGCCCTGGACTCGCCTGCCAGCCCCTCCTCTCAGTGAGCAGCGATCCCTCTCCTCCCCTCCGAGGCACCATCGGCCCCGCCCTGACCTAGGCTCCGCCCCAGCGCGGCTTTTAAGCTTTTAAAGTTCCTCTTTCTCACCTCGGAGTCTCAGTTTCACGACTGGAACTTGGGACCCACTGCTGCCCTCAGCTCCTAGTTCGGGGCAAGGTAAGACCTGGGGTCGGGCTGGAGCTTAGATGTGAGGCTGGCATCACGGAGAACCCTGAGCGAGAGGCCAGAGGTCCCTGGGACAGTCCCTGGGACAGTCTCGAAGGCAACACAAGAGACCCCAGCTTCGGAGCCGAGAGAAAGGACGCTCCTCTTGAGGGAGTCCGAGCCCCCGCCCTGTGTGGTCAGGGCCCACGGCTTTCGTGCGGGCTCCGTAGAGGGCCCCTGGGGCGCTGCCCGAGCGTCTCCACGGGCTCACCCCGGCCCCGTGTCCCCGCCACTGTTCCGGGCGGCCCAGCGCCGGCCGGGACAGCGCGCACACACCCGCTGCACCAGATGGGAGAACAAGATTGTTAGGTCCTCAGGCGTGGCTTAGACCGGGCCGTCGAAGGTACCCACTAGGGGCGGCAGTATTTCCCTCAGTGGAGAGGCTCTTACTTCCGAGGCCCCTTCTGCTCCTTCGTAAAGGGTCCGAACCCCACCGCGGCCTCCGGCGCGTGTTTCCCTGGAAGAGGAGCTCCAGAATTTGGGTACTCGGGGCCCCAACCCCAGTCCTTCCCGGTCACTCGCACTCTCCACTGCCGCTCTCCTGCGCAGACCTCCAGGATCAGGCGGATACTACACGCGCCATCAGCATCTCCCGCTACTTAGCTACGCTCCTTGCCAAGTGCCGGGTCACTGCCCTTTGTTGCCCTCAGAGCTTACTTGATCCTTGCTCTTTGGCAAGGGCTCAGGGCTATTCTTGGTACAAAGAGGGAAAAAGCCCTGAGGCGAGTTGGTGGATGCTGAGCACCTGGAACGACCTAACTGCAGGCTGGCCCGCGTGCTAAATTGGCGCGCAAGGGTCACCAAAGAGTGCGAAATGGGGAGTAGGCAAGAGTGGAAACTGACTGTGGGGGCAAATGGGCTGATAGTAGATTCGGGATGGACAAAGAGCAGGAACTACGAGTGAGTGTGTAAACGGGGTGCTAAGAAGGGTGGAGGCTCGATGAGTGTGCACAAAGGCTAGAGTTGTGTGTCTGGGCTGTGCAGTGCGTAACAAGCACGGAGAATCTCCAGGACGCGGTAGAAAAATAGATTCCGCTGAGGGCGCGTTCGGGAGGAGACAGGATTGTGCACACCAAGGGGACGAACCCGGGCCAGCTGAGGTGTCTTCTCTCAATGAACTTTGATGACACTACTTAGTGCGCGCCTCTCTACCTCGAGACTCCCGGCCTCGTGGTCATCGCCAGGGCTGTTTGGGACTAGGTACCCTGAGCGCTGTGCCGCGGTGCTGAAGGACGACCTTTCTCTCCCCTGCGGCGCAGAGTGAGTGCTGGAGGCAGATCCTGGGCGCGAGAGGGCTGCAATCGGCGGGCTGAGCATGAACCTGGAGGGTGGTGGCAGCCGTGGTGGAGAGTTCGGCATGAGCTCTGTGAGCTGCGGCAACGGGAAGCTCCGCCAGTGGCTGATCGACCAGATCGACAGCGGCAAGTACCCAGGGCTGGTGTGGGAGAACGAGGAGAAGAGCATCTTCCGAATCCCCTGGAAGCACGCGGGCAAGCAGGACTACAACCGCGAGGAGGACGCTGCCCTCTTCAAGGTTACACACACGTGGGGAGCCCGCGGTCTGGATGGGGGAGGGCCCCAGAGAGCCGAATCCGCTCTGTGGTGAGCCCGGTCCGTGCTCGGTGCGCCCGCCTGGTGGTTCTCAGAGGGGAAGTTACAGGCACAGGACCAACTGGAAAGGGTGGTCCTGGGTGGGCAGGCCTGGAGGTAGGGGAGCATCAGGTGTCTAAAGGCTGAAGCCCTGAGAGGAGGGAAGTTCGAGCTTCTCTAACGATTTCAAAAACCGAGAGGAACAGGTTCCGACCCTGAAGGTGTAGTGTGGGCAACACCCAGGGAGTCAGAAACTTCCAGCAGCAGGGGAGAGTACCTGTTGGCTAGCTCAGGGCAGATCACCCATCTCAGGACACTGGTTGGAGTGTCTGTGGTTGTAATTTTGTGGATTTCTCTGTTTCCACTGTGCCTCCATCTGTACCCCTGGATCCTTCCTTGCCTCCTCTGATTAATTTTTGTCTCTCTTCCTCTCTCTCCCCTCCCCCACCTGCCTCCCCAACCCAGCCCCATGGGTCTGCTGGAGTCAGTCTGTTTTTGTCTCTTTCACTCTGTTTCCCTATGTTTTCACTACTTGTCTCTCTCTGAATATTTTTTTTCCTTTGGTTCAATGTCTCTGGTGCAGGCTCTCTCTCATTCCACCTCTCCTTGGGCCCTTCCTCCCGTGTTTCTCCCTCTCCATCTCTCTGCTTACCAACCCCACCCCCATCCCCCAGCCTTTGGGGTTTCTCTCTTTCTCCTCCTCTATCCCTCTCCCTCCAGGATCTCTGTTTTGAGCCTCTCTCTGGATCTTTCTGTCTGTGTGTGAGCTTCCCTCATGACTGTTTTCCCCTAGAGAAGTTTACTTAGTGAACTGTGTATAAGGGCCCAGCCCCACCACCTGTGACCAGAGCACATGTAGGGGACTTCCTCAGGGAATTTGCTCTCAGAATACCTCAGATTATCTGACAGACCAGATGTACTACGTTAGAGAAGCTCATCCCACAGCTCTATCCCTAGTTACAATCAATCATGCTTTAGAAACTGGGTGAGAAGTTCCTTCCCCAGGGCTCCTTTACATCTTACCTACCTTTCACAAATCCTTAGAGCCTATTCAAACCACTTGTCTTCAACTCAGCAATGATAGAGACCAGTACTGTACATAGAAGATAACTGGTATGTTTGTCCCACATTTTGAGTGACAGTATACATTTGAAGCACTGAAGCATCATTCTTCTCTTTAGAAATACAATTCCCAGATTCTTTCTTAAAAGATCTGTATTTTAACTTTTTTCCTCTTCTTCCTCACCAGGCTTGGGCACTATTTAAAGGGAAATTCAGAGAAGGCATTGATAAGCCAGATCCTCCTACCTGGAAGACACGTTTGCGATGTGCTTTGAACAAGAGCAATGATTTTGAGGAGCTGGTTGAGAGAAGCCAGCTAGACATCTCAGACCCCTACAAAGTGTACAGGATTGTTCCTGAGGGAGCAAAAAAAGGTGGGGCTTTCTTGTTTGGGACCACAGAATATTGACGTCAGACACTTGTAACACCTTCATTTCATTCTGAAGTTCATTTTTCTATTTTTGTTTTTTCATAGCCTACCTGCCATCTGCCTCATGTTCAGACTCAGGAGGCTCACTGTCCAAATTCTCTGGGTCATTAATTGAAATTCTTGTGGTATGAGTGTAGGGTACTTTGTCAGATTCCACCTGCTTGTATGCACATGTGTGTTTGCATGTGTGTGTTTTCCAGTTAATTCTTATGGGCCCAATTCCCCAACAAAAAATGGAAGACTTGTTCAAAGCTTGGCTTATCTATCAGTCTTACATGATTAACTTTTTGTAGAAAGGAAACACACATTCATCCACATATTGCTATTTATAAAAATAAAAATGTCAACTTTTAAAGTGTACTATGGTCAGCTGGGCTGCTTATTAAGATTCAGATTTCCTCTTTCCAAGATTCTGACATTGTGTCAGAGTAGAGCCCAGGAATCTGCATTTTAAACAAACCCTGCAGGTCATCTCATTTGCATAATATTTTGCTGGTGGGGCCCTTTCTTTCACACACAGGTGCATTCACACACAGCAAGATTTTTGTAGAAATCAGCTTAATAGAATGAACAAATAATTGCCCAACTGAATTGCTGAAAAAAATGTCTTAGAATTTGTCAACACTATTATGCATTCTAAGAATTAAATCCTCAGATATTTTTCTAAGATTTGATGCTTAGTTATATCAGTTCCTTTTTCACATTGTGCCATATCCCTTTTGCAAAAAACACATAGGAGCAAAGCAGCTCACCCTAGAGGACCCGCAGATGACCATGAGCCACCCCTACACCATGACGACGACTTACACCTCACTCCCAGCTCAGGTATGGTAGCAGGCGCAGGGCTTCTAGAAGGGAAGGCTGGGAAAAAATACACAAACAACAACAAAAAACTGTTCTTGCTCTTAGTCAGACAACCATACTAAATCCCTGGTCATTGAATGAGTGGCTCACTTTCAACTTGGTGTTGCTATTGGTGTTGGTTTTAAGTAGGAGAGGAGTTGGTGTGTCTGCCTGTTAGTAGAAGTACAGACTTCTACTACTAATTCTAAAATCTTCTGGGAAACAGACCTATTGTGAAAGTTGAAGATTTTGGAAGTAGTACTTTATATCATGTGAAACCACAGGGCAGCTGATCTCTTTAGACTTTTCTGATATGAATTACAGCTCTGTTGTATTCACTTTGGTGGGGGAAAGAAGGCTAATTTCCTCACAGTACTTTCGGTGCCAGGTTTAACCATATGATGAAGCTTCACATAAATCATTACTTTACCACACTATCTCCATTGTGCTTATTTTGATTCTTTATGGATATTTTTCACCTAGAGTTATGAGCCATTCACTCCAGAGTCTTTCAGATGATAAAATGATTGGGCTGCAGCCAGTGAATAGATTGCCTGAGGAGTTTGGGAGAATATGAAAGAATCTGCTCCCATTTCCCAATGCCAACAAACTGTCTTTGCTGATCTGGTTGCTTTCATCTCTTTAGCAGGTTCATAACTACATGATGCCACCCCACGACCGAACCTGGAGGGAGTATGTCCCTGACCAACCCCACCCCGAAATCCCCTATCAATGTCCTGTGACGTTTGGACCCCGGAGCCACCACTGGCAAGGCCCAGCTTGTGAAAATGGTAAGGAGTGAACTGGGGCTGGTTCCTGTTGCTGCCACTGACCCAGCAAAGCAAACCTGGCCAAAGGGCCTTGGTCTTTCCTGATCTGCCCTTCTGGGCAGGACCACAGTCTTTTCCCTTATCAGGATTGCTGGGAAAGACTTCACAGGCAGAGGAGGAGAGTTTTCTCTCTTCTGTAGGATGATGATAAGGTTCTTAGAAGAAGGATGCCAAGGTTTACTAACACTGGGCCTACCACGTGCCAGGACCTATTCTTGTAACTACCTTATGTGAATCTTATTTAAACATGACAAAGATCATTTCAAGTAGCTAAAGACAGCTCCATTTTTATAGAGGTAAGCTCACAAAATGTGCTATAGGAGAGTGAAGCTGGTGTGCTGGTGTTCCACTTCGGATCTGCTAACTCTAAAACCCAGCCTTCCCCTTAAGATAGGAAATGTCAGATGGCAAATTGCTTAGCTATGTTTTTTTAAAATTATCTGTTCAACAGGTTAACATTTTTCTGCCTTGTTGAATAATCTTAAGATTTATTCTTAATCCTTGGTAAAAAATAGTAGCTTTTAGCAGTCTTCCCTCCTGGATTGTCCCTTAATGTTGGCTGAGCCACAAAATTTCACTGATCCATTTCTGTCTACATATCTGTCAAGTGGGTTTACTGCAGCTGTGCCCAAGCCCTCCCCCTCTATAGGGACACAGGAGATCACTGAGCTAGTATATTTCTCTTAAACAATGGTGTGCCCATTGTAGTCATTCTTGGGATTAGAGGTGATAATAAGAGAAATGAATAAATACTATTTTAAAAGAATAAAAATTTCCACAGAGTATGTAGTGCTGGTTTTGGACCACTCTGGATTATATGTGGTTCCACACCTGTAGGGATTCCCCAGGCTTCAAGAGGAGATCTCACAGCAGAAGCACTAATTAGTTAAGTGAAAAGAAAATTTCAAATGATATGTTCAGTGCAGCATAACACATGATTTTAGAATTCTTGAGTTAGTTATTTAAAGAGAAATCATGAGAAGGGTCAACATATAGATTCTTTTGTATGTTTTAGGACTATCTGGTCAGTTCCCCTTTTTCTAGTTATGTTCCAGTCACTGATTATGGTATTGAAGAAGTACACCATTATTTAACACTTGCATTGAGTAACATGTTTACAAAAGAACTCATAATTCAGTTTTATTAGCTTCTCAGGAATAATTTGCAGCAAAGGTTGGTTTTCCATATGACAATTGGGTGAATTAGTGAACATTAAACTTATTTCAAAAATTCACACCAATATCCAGTGTATATGGCTCTAGTAAACTAATAATTCCAGTAAAGAGACAATGCCTAGAACTGTGCAAAAAAGATGAAATAGGCAGACATATGTTGAAGCATTAGGTGACATCAAAAATAGCGCAAGGTTTTAATTGAGCTCTTTGGCCTGAGAAATCTTGTGGACCTGAGCTCACAATTCTGCCGAGAACTTGCTATGTGAGCAGGGGAGAATCACTCCATCTCCCTGAGTCTCAGTTTCCTTGTTTATAAGTTATGGAGGGATGTTGATCAAAGTGTATAATCTCTCAGTTATAAAATGAATACATTCTGTGGATCTAATGTAAAGTTAACAGTACCGTATGATATTTGATATTAAAAGTTGCTGAGAGAGTAGATCTTAAATGTTTTCAACACATACACAAAATGGTAATTATGTGTGGTAATGGAGGTATTGACTAAGAAAGGAAGGAAAGAAAGAATGAATGAAAGAAAGAAAGAGAAAGAGAGAGAAAGAAAGAAAGAAAGAAAGAAAGAAAGAAAGAAAGAAAGAAAGAAAGAAAGAAAGAAAGAAAGAAAGAAAGAAAGAAAGAAAGAAAGAAAGAAAAAGAAAAAAACAAAGAAAGAAAGATTACAGAGGGAGAGTTCTGAGTTTCCTTCCAAAGCTGTGAAAAAGCTCCTTCCTCCTCTGGATTTGGTTTTTCCCATAGGACTTTTAGCTTATCTTTGCCTGTTGAGAGAGCCTATGGTCAGCTCTCGAGAGCCAGCCCATGGCCCTTCATTCTTGGATTTGATGCAGGCCTCTCTGTGTGTGGATGAACTCTGACTTTTATTTGCAAATACAGGTTGCCAGGTGACAGGAACCTTTTATGCTTGTGCCCCACCTGAGTCCCAGGCCTCTGGAATCCCCATAGAGCCAAGCATAAGGTCTGCCGAAGCCTTGGCCCTCTCAGGTGAGTCTGGCGTATGGACTGGAGGCACTCACAGGTGGCCTGTGTCTGCAGAGTTCACCCTCACTTTTGGGTGGAGTTGATGGGGCAGTTGGTGAGCACAGTTTGTGGACACTCACTCCTCCAGCTGGTACTTGAATATGTGTGGACACAACTGAACTTTCCACCTCTGTGAATGAGAAACAGCTTTAGCAAAGTTAGCACTGAGAAGCCCACTATGATTCTGATTCAATTCTATGTGCTGGTTGAGTCATTTTTTTTTCCATTGGCATTTATCTGAATTTCCAAGAATATGCAAACACTCAATTTCATTTACCTGGGGCCCCTCTTCAGCTAACACCTTCACAGTGTAGTATAATTTCTTAGAAAACAGCACCAGGGTTTCTCATTGTGAAAAGCTGATCATTCTTCCAGGTTTAGCCATAAACAGGTCTTTCTCATCAGTGTTCTAGAAACATGAGTTCTGGCTGCTTTGCATTCACTGCATTTGTGTGAGTATTGTGGTCTTTCTCTGAACTTTGATATGTCTTGCAAAAAATATATGGATTAGATATGATATTTAAAGTTTCTCTTCTAAAAGAATCCCGGCACCTCAATCTTACCTGTTTTAAGGAAGGCACCTCAGGTATACTAAGCCTATTGATTAATATATATTTATGTTTTAGATAATGTGTTGGATTGTTTAAGAATGGGATTTGTATTTGTATTAAAAATGAAAAGCTTAAGCCTCTGGTTCCTCTTGCATCTCCCCAACCCAACTCCACTTCTTTAAAAATCAATGATAAAAAACATAAACTAAATTCTCAAGGTTTCAGGGAGACAAGGATTTTGGATACCTTTCTTTCTCTGAGGGAAGCTGGAGTTTCATGATTTAGTTCTTTTTGATTTCAAAGGTCTGAATGAGGCTGCTGCCTCCCCTTCTGAGAGGCGCCTGAGTGATGGAGGGGAGGAGATTTTCCAAGCAGAAAGTCTTGTGTTTGCTTTTAGCAATTTTCAAGAGCTTTCTAGAGCTCCTAAAAATTGTGTGAGTGCCCGAAAAGTAGGAAATAAATAGCTATTTATATCACTGTGACCTCATGATTTCTGGTGACATTAAATGAAATGAAACCTGCCCTGCAAGTCACCTCTTATGGCCAACGCCCACTCTCATCAGGCTGCACCATCAGGTTGTGCCACTGAGCTGTTCCCAGCCAGTGTTTACAACAGCAAAAATTGAAGTGGAGAATTGACACAGTTATGTGGGTTACATTTACAAACCTACCATTGAAAAATAAGAGGGTTTTGTGGGTTTTTGTTTTGGGCATGAATAATACAGATTAATTGAATGCATTTATTAGAAAACTGCCATTCCCATCCCTTGTTAAATCCCCTGCAGTTACTGATAGGAAGCTTTTTTGCTTTTCAATTAAGGGCCCTTTGCAAACCTATCTTCGTCTTCTCAGTCTGTGAGTCATATTTTAAAGAAGGTTCTGAAATTATTAAAATTGCATAAATATATTCATCCTGTTTGATGTTTTAGAAAGCATTGTTTTAGAGTTATTTTCAGACTTAAACACATAGTCTAGTGGGATTTCAGCAGACTTAACTCTCAGAACATTTTTCTCATTTATTCTTTTCTTTCCACATGGATTAATTTTATTTTATAAGTAGTACATACATAGTGTGAAAACTAATGAAAAATAAACATCACATTCCCACCACCCAGAGATCACCACTGTTAAGGCCTTAGTGCTTAGCCTTCTTGAAACTTTAATATATACATATTTTTAACCTTATGACATCTCACTGATATTTTAGGGTGGTTTCAGATGTGTGGACATATTCATTTTTTCCCCTGACACATCATTATACTCTTTTTTCTCTTGGCTAGTAAAAATTAAACTTAGGGTTTACTTTCTCCAAAATTGAAACTGATTGCCATGCTTAAAGATAAATTTTCGTTCAGTGGTACATGATTTAGTATTTTAGACATCACCACTACCATCATCACACACACAAAAATAATATAGGAAGTTCTTAACAGTAGTGCTTTTTAATACAAGTCAAACCTACTTTGTGGAAAACTAATGAAAGTTTTGTTCCCCTACCCTCTCAAAACCCATGGTCCCATAAATTTGGAAAATGTTGAGTTAGACAACATCAAATTGACTTCTTGTGAAAGTTCTCCAATGTCTCTCATTGTCTGTGAACCTCCAGGAGGGAGAGAAAGGTATGCAGCATGTAACAGACTTCCTGACCCTGGAACTTTCTACTTTCTACAGAACAAGTTGGGGTATCAGTGCCCCACCAAATATTCTTTGTTCTGGCTGATAGTCTGGCATCCTGATGGGCATGCAATGCTTCTCAGTCCTTTAGCACTACTGACCCTGAATGTTCTTTTTGCAGACTGCCGCCTACACATCTGCTTGTATTACCGGGAAATCCTAGTGAAAGAGTTGACCACAGCCAGCCCTGAAGGTTGTCGGATCTCCCATGGACACACCTATGATGCCAGTAACCTGGACCAGGTCCTCTTCCCCTACCCAGAGGACAATGGTCAGAGGAAAAACATCGAGAAACTGCTGAGCCACCTAGAAAGGGGTGTGGTCCTCTGGATGGCCCCCGATGGGCTTTATGCCAAAAGACTGTGCCAGAGTAGGATCTACTGGGATGGACCCTTGGCACTGTGCAGTGACCGGCCCAACAAACTGGAGAGAGACCAGACCTGCAAGCTATTTGACACACAGCAGTTTTTATCAGGTAATGCACCTAACTATCAATTAGAATTGAGTGCCTCATACCACGAGCTTTCCGGAGAGAGAGTAAAGGTGATGATGGTTTGTCTGCCACGATGGTAAAAAACAGCACATCACTCCAGCCGGACAGAGGTCTTCCTTCTGTTAACCCCTGAACCCACCGGGCATGATCCCAGAATATGTTTTTTGTTTGTTTCATATCTCACCTCTCCTTTTGCCACCTGCTCCTCTCTATCAGCAGAAGGGTATGAAGAGGAGGGAGATTGCTCAAGGGGACTGCGGTTCAGGCTGATGACTTGAACTCCTGGAATTCCACAGATAGTCACCTAGTAATCCAATTCATACTTTATAGGCAGTCTGATCTCAGCAAACATATCTGTTGATGTTTCAGGTCTTTTAGGGTTCTTAGGAAAATTGCAGCTGTTAGAAATATATCATTACCATTCTTGGTTATGAGATGTGTCATCATTATGCAGATGCCCTCCTGTAGGTGGGCCACAGATTAGAGTGTGTTGAACTGATTCTTCAAAGGGAAAATTATGAGAAGGCTTTAAGCTATCTCTATGATATGTGTGTTTCAAATCATATTTTTCAAAACCAGTGAATTTTGTTTTCCTAGTTTTGAGTTCATGACAATTAAATCAGCCCTGGGCTGGTTTTTGTGAAATCACTGACTACATTATTATTGAAATGAAACCACTTAATCCCAAGTGTTCATATAGAAATTGATATCGACACTGCCTCTTCTGGAAGCAGAAAACTATTCCAATCTGCTGGATAACTGCCTATTCTTTCTCTACCTTACCCTTAACCTATTTTTTAAGTATCCCCTTCAGAAACACCTTATGCCTTTGGGTTTTCTTATTCCGCTCCTTTCCCTGAACATACATCTTAATTCAGTTCCCTTGAAATAAAAATATGAAACACCTCTGTGCTCTGGCACCATTAACATTCACTCAGCCTTTTGGGTTTAAGTTGCCCAAATTTGCTTATGCTCATTCAAATTCTCTTTTGGTGCTCCCAAACAAATATCTCCCTAGATGACTAACACTCCCCCAGAGGTGTGACAAGAAGAAGAAGGAGAACTGAGTCTCTGATTCCCCAAGGCAGAACCACGGGTGAGAAAGCCACATGGGTCTGAGTGCCCCTCCATGAGCTGAAGAATTGCCTCTAAGCCTGTGTTGTTACTGTTCTGTCTGTCCTGGGGCTCAGTGTGGTGATCACGATATGGTCCTGAGAGTGGCCCTGAGCCACTGAGGAGTGCTCCATCTGTACCTTCTATTGTGCAGTGGAGTCTGAAAGAGCCTTCCAGGTTTGGATCTCCTCAAAGACGGTGAATCTTGGTCTCTTTGGATCCAGGAGATACTGCAGGGCTAGGATCCAGGGCCAGGGCTTTAATTAAAGCACCCCAGGGAAATAACAAATGTTTCCCTGGTGCATTTCCCTGGTGTTTTCTCTCATGGTGCATGTTTTAGGAAAGCAGACTCCTCTCATTCTAACTAGGCAATGAATTCTCCTTTGAGTCACAGTGAACTGTAAGATGGATACAGTTAAGAAGCAGGCAGGCATGACATGCCAGCTACCAGCATCCTCAAGCTGTGAATTCACTTGCCTAGAACTTAGTATTTATTTGTGAACAAGAGTTGTTTTGTTTTCTTTTTCCTTTCTTCTGTAACCAAGAGCCGAGCTTTTTGTCCACAACAAACTCTTATCTTGCAGTGGTCACTAAGGTGCAAGGCACTGAGGTGCACATGTAAACTTGAAAACTGTAGCTGTGTGGACCAGCTCTGCCTAATTACAGAGGTTTTCATGTTATCAAGCATCTGAGGCATGATTTTTTCAGAGAATTGTACCAACTCACCATTCTGATTAGCTTGTGTAGGTGTAGCCAGACCTCCATAGTGTAAATACCTTTTATATTCTGACTAAGTCAGTTAGGTTTGATTTGAATTCTGGAAGATAAAAAAGCAGGAAGTCAAATGGTCCAGTGAGTTAGCTAGAAACTTCTCTTCAGTTGAAGAGAACAGTGGAAATCTTTGCTATCTACCCATTCAGGATTTGCAGACTGCTAGGGACAGCCCCCAAAGGCAGAGCTTGAGGGTGTGGATCTGATAAAGATGCAACCCAGTGCTGTTCCACAGAAGTTGTAGCAGAAACTGTGTAAGCACGTTTCTTTTGTAGAAATGACATTTGAGTCTAGCGGAAAGAAGAGGAGCAGCTAGAGGCAGGAGTTATCTTGAATGTGGGTGAGGGGTTGAACACATCTTTCCAACAGTACTCTATTCTCTGTTTTGCATCCTTAGGGTAGGAGTGGCTTCAGGTTCTCTACATCCACATATGTGGGGGCCCCTCCTGCTTCATCACTACCCTTCTCATCTCAAATCATTGTCTGTCCTAGAAGACAGGCAAAAAGTCCACCCAAAGTCACACAGTTTGGGCCTAGTGCCAAGTGGGGTGCAGCTGCCCATACTGCCACTCAGTCTCCAAGATAACATCAAGCATTTTCTGTGGGGCCTGAGTCACATAGAGGTCCTAGGTAACAGATATGGGATTTTGAGGGCTCAGCAGTTTTGAGATGAGGTTTTTAAGTCGAGAATTTTCTGACTTGAGACTGGGACAAGTCAGAAAATTCTGATGTTTTTAAGAGAAAATTTCTTCTTTGTATAAATTATTATCTTGCCTCAACATAGCTACTAAATATATTTTCCTTTTTCTTCCTCCTTCACTCTTTTCTGCATCCTCATGGGCCCAATACTGCAAAGCAAGCTTCTTAATCTGCAAGGTTTCTTCCTCTTGGATAATTAAGTGAGGTCTGGAGCCCACTCAGCAAAAGCACACATATGTACGTGTACATGCAGTTTTCCAATCTGGAGTCTACAGGTTAAAAACTCCACTTAAGAGAAATAAAGAGTGCTCATTCCTACTTTTTTTCTATTAATTAATTAATTTATTTATTTATTTATTATTTATTTATTGTTCAAGTACAGTTTTCTGTCTTTTACTACCATCCCAGCCCACCTCCTTAGTGTTCCCCACCTCCCTCCCATTTCTGCCCCCCCGCCTTTGTTTTTGTCCATATGTCCTTTATACTTGTTCCTGTGAATCCTTCCCCTTTCCCCCTGAAATTCTCTCCCCCCACCCACCTCAGGTCCCTGTCAGCCTGTTCTGTATTTCAGTGTCTTTGGTTATATTTTGCTTGCTTGTTGGTTTTGTTGTTTAGCTTCCTGTTAAGGTGAGATCATATGGTATTTGTATTTTACCACCTGGCTTATTTCACTCAGCATAATTCTTTCCAGTTCCATCCATGCTACTTTTATCTTCACAGTCAACTTAGAGCTCTTGCTTCCCATTTTAACCTTATATGCTCAATGATGAAGGTTCTGAACATGTTTTCTTTCTTTTTTTTTTTTTGGTGGGGTTTCTCCAGAGTTGCAAGCCTTTGCTCACCATGGTCGACCCCTGCCAAGATTCCAGGTAACGCTATGCTTTGGGGAGGAGTTTCCAGATCCCCAGAGGCAAAGGAAACTCATCACTGCTCATGTGAGTATTCAGTCACATTTAAATGGTTGTGCCCCTATTCTTCATCAAGAACAGTCTTACATTTAGAGATCTCGCAAATGAAAAATAAATGTCAAGTGACTTGGAAAATTGTGAGGGAGGAATTGTGATCCAGTGAGTGATGCAGGGAGTGTAGCCCAGAGACCCTCATCCTATTCCCAGCCCCAGAAATTTACTAATCAGAAATGGGAGGTTGCCTCCAACCATGGGCTGCATTTATTGCGTCTTTTTTATTTTTCAAGAAAATTGTCGTATTCCCATTTTATAAGGATTTAAAACAATTGACGCCCTTTGAAATTCTCCACATTTAATATTACTTTTTAAATACTCTGATTTTCATTTGATGGAGAAGTTTATTTCCCAAATGGGAAACTGTTCATTGACTTCTGTATTTTGTATGTCCTTCACATGTTTCTTAAATCCTCTTTTATTACTAGATTTTAAAAAATTATAATTATTGGAAACCAAGAGCCATATGTTATTTGGAGAAAGCTAAATCTTTCAAGGAATACAAGTAGATCAGACCAGTATAATGTTCTTCAGCAGAATTTAAGTTAGGTTTGACTGTGGCAAGTGAACACTTTTTTTCATAAAAAAAAGAAAAAAGTTTATATAGACAACATTTAGCATTAATTTGCCACAGAAAAGAGTTCTGAATACCTAGGACTTTTGAATTTGAAAACTTTGCATTGCTACATCCCTTCAAGGGTTATGAATGGGCCCAGATAATGACTAGCAAAGGTAAAAAATAATAACCAATAATGTAAAAATTCAGGTCATATTTTAGTTCTGATAATGTTTCTTATTGAAAACTAAAATAAAACACTATCCAATCTTTAACATGCAGTCCTCCTTCTTGATTGTAAAATCAAAAACCAACCCAATAAACAAGAATATAATCCCATAGACTTCAGACTTTTCTCATGAATCTGCTCCAATGATGATAAAATCATTGATGGAATCTTGTTAATAACTGGGATTGTTAAATGACTAAATAAACTTGGCATTGATAAATAACATTTAGGAAACTGGTGGTAAACTCCCAAGTCATCTATCTGACTTTGAGTGTTTTTGGATGCACTCTCTATCCTGTAAGTCAGGCAAGGGCGTGTTTCCCAGGCAAGGCCCCCTGAAATCACCCTGTATGGTGCAGAAAAGGGAAATAGATGTGTGTGCACCCAAGAGTTTCTATTCTTTTGATTATAGATTTAATTTATTCTAGGTAATTTTTGTAAGTTACTCTTAAGTTGCTACATATCAAATAATATAAAGGCTCGATTTAATAGCACAGTTAACTGAAAGCATTTTGTTTCCTTAGATGTTATAAATTCAGGAAGAGCAGAAAGTTAAAATTTTTTTGGTGAATGCAATCCAGAATAATAACCAAGCTAGATGAATTTGGGATCAATTAAGTTTTATTTTCCCACAATAGCAGTTTTGTTGTTGCTTTTGCGTCTATTTCTATTTTCTTTGGTTTAGAAACATGCAGATTACCTAGGTCATCCTGGAATTGTAAACTGTTCAAGATAAGCCCCTTCATTCCTGTCAAATTGAAATGGAAAAATAAACTTATTGGCCTAAATTACACTAAATATTACCTCAAATTTCCTTTTAATTTGGTTATTTTACCTGATTTGTTTCTGTCTCAGTTAAATGTAAATTTTCAGCAACAGATGACTTAAAGGTATCAGCTTTAACTTTAATTTCAGTTGAAACCCACAATTAAGTATGTTCTGTTTAGAGGTAGGTATATGAAAGGACTAACAAAAATTAGTTCTTCAGAAGGCTCCAAGTATAAAATTTTTGAGCTGTTATAGCACCTAACTTTGGACTTAACTTTACTATATAGCATTACATATATTGAGTTATTTAATGATGATCCAATTGCAGGATGGTAAAAAGAATATCTTAGTAACATGTTCTTAAAATCTCATTAAAGGTTGAACCTCTACTAGCCAGACAACTATATTATTTTGCTCAGCAAAACAGTGGACATTTCCTAAGGAGCTATGATTTGCCTGAACACATTAGCAGTCCGGAGGATTATCACAGATCTATTCGCCACTCTTCTATTCAAGAATGAAAATGTCAAGTGATTTTGTTTCATTGTAAATATCTGACTATTAACAACAACAGCGATTGAACCTCCCTCTTTTTATTTTGATAAACTTGGGAATTGGAGCTTCAGTTCAACACTTGAGGAGAATCTCAGCAAGAATGTGTATAGAAAATCAGCTCCATCTAATGCACAGATGAGTTTTTTCCAAAAGGAAGAACAGTCTTTAGGGTCTTCTGTAGATTGTTATCATTGATGATAACTGTGAAATTTAACCAAAGGTTGTGTTTACATTTGCTTAAATGCTATTTTTTATTTGATATGGATAATTTCTTGCTTGAAGACTGAGAAAACTTGTATTTCAGTATTGACCACTAACTAGAGTTATGAAAACGGTTAAGTGTTGTACTGTTTCTCAGGGAAGTAAAATCTCCATTTGAGGCTACTCTGCCCACAAAAGAAATGGATTAAAACATGTAGGAGATGTTGTTGTTGTCGTTGTAAAAAATGCTTGCTTATAGAAGGAAATAAAATCTTCTAATTGAGGTTGGGCCACAGTGCTTCCAGCTTTGGGGTGGCTCATCTCACCTCCTTGCCTGGATCTCATGCTAGGGTAGGCTCCTAAGCCCTGCCTTTCACTGCCCTGTTTGCTTCTCTTCTTGGGGTGCTCTTGGAAGCCATTTAGTAGACTTTTGTTGCTATTTTCCTGAGCCAAAAAGCATTAGGGCTACCCATGAGTTGTACTTTTTCTTCAATCTGGGTAAAATTGCTACAATACATTATGTGAGTTTTAGAGCTATAGGTGTACAATGTTGTAATATGACATCTGTATGCACTACAAAGTGAATGATTACCCCCAAAAGTCTAATTACCATCTTTCATCATGCTATTGAACTGCATCATCAATTTTACTTGCTTCCAACCCCTTTCCTTTCTGGTATCCACCAGTCTGTTCTCTGTGCCTAGAAGTTTGTTTCGTTTGCTTTTGTTTGTTTGTTTTGTTTTCAGATTTCACATATGAATGAAATGATATGGTATATGTTGTTCTCTATCTGACTAATTTCACTTAGCATGATATCCTCAGGGTTCATCCATGTTATCATCAATAGTATGATTTCATCTTTTTTATGGCAAATATTTCCTTGTATATATGCAACACTTTCTTTATCCATTTATTTCCTGATGAATACTTAGGTTGTTTCCATTTCCTGACAGTTGTAAATAATGCTGCAGTGAACATAGGGAGCATGTATCTTTTCAAATTAGTGTTTTCATATTCTTCAGATAAATATGTAGAAGTGGAATTGCTGAGTTATGTGGCAGTTCTACTCTTAATTTTATGAGGACTCTTCATACTGTTTTCCATAGTGGCTGTACCAATTTATAGTCCCAAGAAAAAAGGGTACATGGGTTCCCTTTTCTCCACATCCTTGTCAACACTTTATATTTCTTGTCTTTTTGATAATAGCCATTCTAACAGTGTGAGGTAGTGTCTCATTGTGGTTTAACTTGCATTTCTCTAATAATTGGTGATGAACATCTTTTCTTGTGCCCGTAGGTCATCTGTATATCTTCTTTGGAAAAATGGCTATTCAGATTCTCTACCCATTTTTTAAGTGAGGTTGCTCATTTTTGCGTTGTTGAGTTGTATGGGTTCTTTGGCTATTAACCCGTTGTCAGATGTATGATTTGCAAATATCTTCTCTCATTTAGTAAGTTGCCTTTTCATTTTGATGGTGCTTTCCTTCACTGTGCAGAAGCTTTTTAGTTTGATGTAGTCCCATTTGTTTATTTTTGCTTTTGTTTCCCTTGCCTTTAGAGCCAGATCCACTTGAGTACTACATTTTTATCTGTCCAACGATCTAGTAATAATTGATTAAGACTTTCTCAATCCTTTTTGTCTTATTTTATAGGAATTTTTGCTTAAACTTCTTTTCCTATAAAAGAAAAAAAGACAGATCAACAATCCAAGTACAAAACATGTATTTTTGAACCTCAGCGACATTTCCCCTCTTATCCTGTTTGTTTTGTTTGGCTATCAGTGAGTTATCCATGACAACACTAAAAAGAAGGAGCCAGTGCTTTTTGAATTGGTGAACTCTGTTAGGAAAGATGATGACAGGATTTCACAAATTGCATAACTGCAGACTCAGTGGGCTGTTTTTGCTTATTTTGTATATTATATGCTTCCTCATGCAAATAATGGTTTGACAGGGCCTTAATATTACTGGGCTTTTCCCAAATACATCTCTTTATAGAATCATTAAGATCTCAACTTGCTTAAGTAAACCTGATCATTTATTTGTTATTTGTTTTTGGATATAGATGTTTAAACTGTGATGTTAGTAACTGATATTTTTGTCATACTACAAAATAATTGCTATTACTTTCGGGATCAGCAGAAGACTCAATAGTTCTCCAATATATGCCACTCTTATTCTAATCTATATTTTTAGTTTGTTCAGCAAACTGTATTTATCCCTGAATTAGAAAGATTATAACATTTATCCATTTTGGTGAGCAATGAGGCATTGGCAAATCACATCATTTTCTTCATTTTTAAAAGAAGTTTTTAATGATAAAATAATTCATAGTAACTACAGAAAACGTAAACAGTATAGAAGAGCTAATCCGCCCTAGAAGTATCCAAAGGAAGAGTTTCACTTACTCTTCTTTTGTGTTCCAACACGTTTCACTTTTCTACCAATCTATATAAACTTAAAAAATGTCATGGAACCCTCTTATACCCACTCTTGTGCAGTGTTCTTTTAACCTGACAATACAAACTTACCTCATTCTTTTTAGAGGCATTGTTGTAGAATTCCACCTCAATGTAATCAGTACAGTTTAAGCCTTTAAGGTACTTTATCAGCTAGTCAGAACAGCTACATTTGGACAGCAGATTATTTCTCATGAACTGCAGTAATGTATACATCTTATAGATGCAAAGTATTATGGGGTATATTACCCTAAGGGGTAGATGAAGACACAAAAGGAACCACTGTGACACAGGCCCTGGTGTGTGGCCCTTCACTGCAGAGCATTTAACCTGAAGCTCTGCAGGGTCTGTCCCAGGGGTGCATCTTCTTAATTCTCCAAGTAGATGCTTGATTTCCATTGCTGTTTGAATCCTTTTCCTCTTCTTTTTCTCTATTCCTCTGTCTCTCTGCCTCTCTGTCTCTCTTTCTATGTCTCTCTTTCTCAAGATTAATCTGCTTTAAAATGGGAGTTACATTTTCTGGAAAATGTCGTTGGCTTGGACCATTCCACATCTTTCTCAGTATTACACTCAATTATGTTAACTTTTTTAATTTTGAGGGATCCAGAGTATGTCTAGTGAATGAAACAATTATAAAATATTCAGGGTGAAGAATCCCAGTCGTTGTCTCAGGCCTTTGGAAAGGAATGGCTACTTTATTCCTTGACTTGATAAAATGAGATTAGCAGACTAGAATAAACTAGTTTGTTCTCAATGAAAAATGCTGTAAAAGAATTTAGGTACTTGTTATGCCAAAAAGCTTTGGATCCAGGGAAAAATAATTTTCTCAAAGGTGCATTTTCTTGGCATATTTCTTGTTCTTGAAGTTTAGTAAAACTGTGGGCAGTAATTGTTGCATTCTGGAACACTAGAGAGCCAGGGTGACCAGCTCATTGTAAACCCAAACCTGGGAGTCCCCTCCATTCCTGGACAAAACAGGACAGTTAGTCACCATATAGAGAACCCAGCAAGACTATCGTGTGTGAGCTAGGAAGAGACTGCTCCATTGAGAGAGAAAATTTACAGTCTGACAGTGGAATAAGGGGCACAACAGTGTGGTTATTACCTAAGCACAGGTGTGCCCAGGTTTGTGTTTAGAAGGTATGCATTGGGCTAAGGTGTGAACAAGATCTTCTTTACCTATCACTGCATGGAACTCCCCAGAGTAGGAATGGCTCTGGAAGTCTTGGTGCAGGGTTTTTTAGGGGCTTCTGTCTGAGAAGCTGAGCAGTAGACAGATAGGCATCTTGAGACAAGGCTTACTCCTGCACCAGTAAAGGTCAAAAATTATTTTGGGGTTTACTAGTTATTTTTAGTACACATCCACACACAGTTCAAATCCCTTTTCATTCCCCTTAGATCACACTTATCCCCTTTCTCCACAGGTGAACGTTTTTCTGAAAGCTGTGAGCTACTTTAAGGACTGTATTTTTATCATATGTCTCCCTAAATAGTTTGTAGCTCACAGATGCAGCATTTGAATAGACACATAAATGTTCCTTTGGGGCTGTCCTACCATCTCTATTGTTCTGCAGCTCACTTTTTTTCACACTCCTGTCTTTGAAATTGATCTATACTCATTTATGTGTATCTCATTCATCCCTTGTTAACTGTTGTTAAATAGTTTTTCCATGATGAATGCAGTGAAGGTCAATTTTCATGGCATTTATTTCCATTGCTTTAAGGAAAGCATGTATATGAGGTACAGCTGAAGTGCAGGAAAACAGAGAGGAGATGTGGAAGAAATAAGAAAAGGCCAAGAGTCCAATCCTCCTCCAACAGGAACTCATATTTTGCTTTAGACTCTTTGGGGTGGAAGAGATCCCAAAGGTAACAGAGCTCACTATCTTGCACTCCTGCTTTATGGATGGGTAGGACCAAGCAGCTCCTCTGATTCAATCCAGTGCTGTGTTGGTTCTGTCTTGTTGCCAAGCCTCCTGGGCAAGGATGTCTTGAGCACTGTGGTGATCATTCCTTGGACAATAGTTGTACATAACCATGTCACAAATGTTGTTGTAAATTGCTTTTTAACTCAGATTGATATTTGTGATGATGTATTTTAGGTAGTTGAAAAATAAAAACTTTTTTAAAAAAGTAATGTTACGGGCTATGTGTGTGTATGTTATTAAACACTCATCTTGATAGCTTTTTAAATACTTCCTCCTTCTGTTGCATTTTTTTAGCAAGGTTGTTCTGGCAGCCTGCTTCCTTCCTGGTTGTCATATGTGTCCTTAAAATCAGATCTCAAAGTGTTTAGCTTGTTTATTAAAAAATGTGAAACTTGTCCTAGAGTTGGATGGCTCCTCCAGCTCATGGAAAAACATCTAAGGTGAGTGGTGAACATCCTTTCTTTCCTCTCCCTCCTCTCCCTTAACAGGTCTAGTAAACCCAAGGAAATCATTGTTAATGTTCCTTTTACACTACAGATCTTTTGATTTTTGTTCTTGTTGTTAAAGAGGAGAAGATATAGTTTAAAAGGTATCCTGAATGTAACATGTAGTATAAAACTGTGTGTGGGAAGGAACAGCCAAATGAAATAGAATCCCTTGTGGTCTCTGGTTGTCCTCTGTCTGCTGTTAACTCATCTCTGTTCAGCTTGACATGGGGCCCACCTTTCTCAGTCTATCTCCTGTGCTCTCTCTCCTATGTGACCTAGCCCTTCAGCTCTATCAACTACTTAGTAGTCTGGCGAGAACACTAGGAAGAGAGGGCTTTAGCTTGTGATGTTCAAATTCTTGCAGCAGAAGATTGCTTAGAGCTGTCAGAAATGTTTGTAGTTTGCCCCAGACTACATTTGCAGGAGCCCCAGAATATTCAGTTAGAATAATTTTTAATTTGCAAAGTGGTAACTAAATAGAAACAATAGGTAAATAAAGTATCATACTGCTTTTAGGGACTATCTCTTTAAGCAAGTATGGATGAAATTGAGTCAGTACATGTAAGCAAGTATTTTTCAAGTATTATATCAACTCTATATATACAAGAGCATTTCAGAGGCATTTTTAGCCCTTGAACATGTTCTTAAGTAATTTTACACCTCCTTCAGATACCAATGTTTATAAACCTTTCTTTACACAGAGTGGAATTTTGACTGTATGGGTTTAGTTTCCTTAAAGCAAGTACTACCTTGACAAAGAAATATTTCTGTATAAAGTGCCCTGATAATGCTTATCTATGTCAGAAAAAAACATTATCAATTCTACATTATCTCTCTGGAAAGAAGTTCCAGAGGTCATAATATCTCATTTTTTTTTCTAGGACAAGCTATACGTAAATGAACTCAGATAGATATATTAGTGGAGAGTGACAAGTTACAGGGTATTCTGGGTACTTGGAAAACCAGGTACTTTTTTGAGTGACCCCTACTCCTGCCAAGCTAGCAACTTGTTGACAGATGGTAGTCCTTAAAGAATTCCTAGCATGCTGGAGGGGCCCTGGCCATCCTTGTTTATACCATCTACCTAGCATAACCTACTGTAAAGTTCATTTTATCCCAGTATTTGAGTGAATGGTCAAAAGTGTATGATCTGTGGAGTTCAAATTTTGGGAATTTTATTATCCCTAAAAGCTGTTGTTTCTCTTCTTTGGGTAAGTTACAATTCTCGTTTTTTCTCCTTTTCCTGTGGGCCTAAGGGTGTTTGTAAACATAGCAATCTTTTCCTCTAATTTCCTCTCCTTCTGGGTCAGATTTCTATAATAATCTTTATCTGGAGGAAAATCACCATTGCATCTAAAACCTCTACCTTCATCAGTTATCACTTCCCTCACTGACTTTACTCTCCAGTCCTACTGAACTACTGCCAGGCCCCAAAGCACCTCTTTTCTTTATCCTGAAAGACTCCTACAGCCATCTGATCACCTGGTTAGCACTCTTTTCTCCACTATATTTTAGCTCTGACATCTCCTTCTGGAAGCATTTCTTCACCTCCCACACTCATGTTAGGTCAGGAACTTTCTCATTTGTACCCTCTGTTTAAATCAGTGAAGGATAATGCTGAAATATTGAAAAAGATGTCCCCCATGGTTGAAACTCTTACCTTTGCTCACTTCCAAGTAGTCAGGCCATTGTTGTTCACTTCTACAGAACAGAAAGAATATAACCCAGCTGTCTGTGCCTGTCTTTTTTCTCCCAAAGACACTGGTTCTCAGGGGGAAAAAATAGAGGACTCACAGAACCCAGAATTTAACTAATACAAACCCTTTCACTCCTCTGTCCTTTCACCCCAGACTAGACAAAGATTCTTGTAGCTGGAGAAAGGTAATGAGAAGAAATTAGTGCATCAACTTCAGCAGCTCCCGGATAAAGAACTATCTATCCTCTGCCTCCTGGAAAGAACCTTTGAATTGCTGGTGGGAGGGGAGAGAGAGAAAACCTGAAAAAAGTTTGAAAAAACAGTGAGGAAGTGCAACTTACAAACGGGCAAATAGATAGGACTGGAGGATAACTCCACAGTAACCTGGGAGGGCCAATGACTATGAGACTGAGTGGTGGCCACCTGGCTTGTATCTGAGTGGACCACATTGAAGACCAGACTGGCCCTCCCCGTTGTCTCCCTCCACCACACTCCCGGGCACCGCAGGAGCAGTGCTATATTTAATTCCAAGTCAAGGAAAGGGGAGAGATCCAAGCTAATTGAGATTAGCTAATTGAGACTGAGTTTCTATCACCCTAGTGGAATGAGAGAAGAGCTGAAGTGAAAATTATGTTGTTAGAAACATTATGAATTGTATTTCTTGAAAACTTCAGCTGTGGACTTAAGTTTGTACTTGCTATGTCTACAGTACAACACTGACCATTCTGTACTGTAATCACATACATATCTTGTTCCATAATATGAACTCATAGAAGATACGATCTGAGTTTGCCACTATATACTGGGGCTTGCCACCTGGAGCAGTGCCTGGCTCTTTGGGGTAACCCACGCATGAACTCAAAATGGACCTGTCTAATACATCCAGCAGTGTCCAGTTGGGTATTAGTTAAATGATGATCATCTATAGAATAAAATGCCATGTAACCACTCATAAATTTTTGTGGTGCCCTTGCTGGTATGGCTCAGTTGGTTGGAGCATCATCCCATCATGAGAAGGTGAATTGTGGGTTTGATTCCCAGTCAGGGCACATACCTAGGTTGCAGGTTCAATCCCTGGTCCAGGCTCATAAAGAGAAAAACCAATTTATGCTTCTCTCACACCGATGTTTCTCTCTCTTACTTCCTCTGTCTCTAAAAACAGTGATAAAAATGTCCTTGGGTAAGAATTAAAAAACACATGGTATATATAAGTGTTTTATGCTATAAAGAAGTGTTTGTTACTTTAAGTAAAAAGAAAGCAAGTTTCAAAACCATGTGATAATTTTTTTGAAATTTTATGGAGTTCATTCATATTTTTTTAAAAGAATAGTGAAAAGTGCAAATTGGATCTCCAATAGTTCAGTGATAGAATTTTTTAATTTTCTAACATGTATTTGGTTACCAGAGGGGTAAAGCACTAAATATAACCCTAAATTTGTGTGTTTAAGACTGTGTGTGTGTGTTTCCTTTCTTAGATTGTTGTGTGGGGTCCCTAATTGCCTAGTTGAATTTGCAAGTGGCACATGCACAAGCACGTACAGAGACACACAGAGCATGGCCTTTGTCTATGATGGCAGAATATCAAGCTCAGCACTCCACCCTGGCCACAGGAAAACTCCTTTTCTTCCCCACCCCTCTCTCGGGTTCAGTTGTTTTGCCTGCTATGTCTCTTTGGATGCCCCTCTCCTCTGATTCACCTTTTCTCAAGATGTATGTTCTGTCCTCTGAGCTATATTGTGGCTGAACCTTTCTTGGCTTCCTGGCTGTGACTACTGCCCTATCTCTGTTATCCCCCAACTCTCCCTGGGGAGCTCCCTCCCTCACCTTCCATCCCCTTTACTCCTCCAGGCTCACTCTTCACACTCTTCAACCTCATGTGATGGTAACACTTGGGATTGGCTGAAAATGGGAGAAAAAACTGTGCAAATACACTATATACATACATATTATACATACATACATACATATATATATATAATTTTGGTAAAATATACGAAAGTAAAAAGTACATTTTGAAGTAACAAGTACCTTCACATTGCTGTGCAACCATTACTATTATCCACTCCAGAATTCTATTCACCTTGCAAAATTGAAATATCCTGTAGTCACTGAGCAATTACTTCCCACTCCTCTACCCCCAGCCCCTGGCAACCACTATTCTACTTTCTGCTTCTCTGAATTTGACTACTCTAGGGACCTCATATAAGTGGAATCATATAGTATCAGTTCTTTTGTGACTGACTTAGTTCACTGAGCATAATATTGTCAAAGTTCATCCACGTTGTGGCAGTGTCTGAATTTCCTTCCTTTTTAAGGTTAAATAATATTCCATTGGATGTATATGCCACATTATGTTTACCCATTCACCCTTCTATGACTAGAAATTTGGGTTTATTCTACCTTTGGGCCATTGTGAATAATGCTTCTATGAACACAGCAGTACTAAGATTTCTTCAAGACCTTGTTTTAAATTCTTTGGGGTATATATGGAATTATGAGATCATCTGTAATTTTGCATTTAATTTTTTTAGAACATCTCCTGAGATCCACCATATTCCCAGCTCTCTGCTGGTTTCCAGAGATACACAACTTCAACATCCTGGCCTTGAGGTGCTCATGGAATGGTGGAGGAGTTAGTCATACTAAGTAGGTACTGTGGGCAGGGCGTCCCCACTGGTCAAAAGGGGGAGTTGGTGAAGGCTTCCAAGAAGTTATTTTCACCCTGGCTGGCATAGCTCAGTGGACTGAGTGTGAGCCTGCAAACCAAAGCATCGCAGTTCAATTCCCAGTCAGGCCACATGCCTGGGTTGCGGGCCAGTTCCCACCAGGGGATGCACAAGAGACAACCATACATTGATATTTCTCTCCCTCTCTCTTTCCCTTCCCCTCTAAAGATAAATAAATAAAATCTTTAAAAAAAGAAGCTATTTTCATTTCCCATTTTTAAGATGAAGAAACTGAGGCATAGAAACCAAGTTACTAGCCTGATGTTGAATAGCTACTAAGAGGCTAAGCAGAATTCTAA